AGTGCTTTTCACTCACCTCATAGTTCTAGACGACCTGTGACAATGAGACTGTCACAGGTCGACTCAGTAGATCGGGAGGTGAGCGAACACATACTGGCGTTCGCTCACATCTCGATCTTGTCATGGCTCTCTGCCGTGACATGGGAGGGGCTGGATTCCCCGCTCCGCCAGCGCTGGCTGGCGGAACGGACGGGGGAGGGGGCGGGTACAGCTGGCTCTGCGGGTACAGCTGGCTCTGCGGCGTCTTAGTATACCGCGAGCAGCAGCTCGCGGTATACTAAGACGCCGCAGAGCCAGCTGTACCCGCAGAGCCAGCTGTACCCGCCCCCTCCCCCGTCCGTTCCGCCAGCCAGCGCTGGCGGAGCGGGGAATCCAGCCCCTCCCATGTCACGGCAGAGAGCCATGACAAGATCGAGATGTGAGCGAACGCCAGTATGTGTTCGCTCACCTCCCGATCTACTGAGTCGACCTGTGACAGTCTCATTGTCACAGGTCGTCTAGAACTATGAGGTGAGTGAAAAGCACTCACCTCATAGTTCTCCTTTAACAGTTTCTATTGTGAGCCTTTTATAACTTCCATACCTATATGTATATGAAACATTGCAGAGTATGATAGCACACTCTAGTGGCAAAGGACAATATTTATCCATTTGCATCCCAAGTATAAATCTTCCAAATCGTAGCACTGAGATCTATATTCAGGAATATTTAAAGCAACTCTATCAGTGGACTCTTATCAGTGGACTTCCAAATGAAGCTTCAATGTAATAGAAGAGGTATTATTCTCACCTCTCTGGGGGCCCGTGTCTCCTACCTTCCTTCCTTCCCCTCTCTCTCAACTAACACAAACAGAAATATTTTAATTGGTCAGCTTTAAGGGGGAACCCCCACACTGTTTTTTTTACACGGGGTCCCTCCTAAATATTCCTACCAGACCTTAAGGGTCTGGTATGACTTTTAGGGGGAACCCTAAGCTTTAAAAAAAAAATGTGGTCCTTCCTAACATTCCTATCAGACCACAGATCACAAGCATGCAGTGAGTGCTAGATTTTCTTATTAGAATGTCTGGCGTCATCTACAACTGAGTGTCATAAATGCATCAGTTATTATATGTAAATGTGTTAGATAATAAAGATTTCATTTTTTATCATTGTAAATATCACATGCAGTATGTGTATCACCTCCATATAATGGGACAAACAGAAAAGATACCTTGTCGCACTCCTTACCGGGAAAACCCAAAATGAGATGAGTGGGGTGCTCGTAGTGACCTGCGGATGGTGCCGCCACACAACATGAAGATGAATAGATGTCACCAGCACACCAACATTACTGCAGTCCAAAGAGTTTGTTTGTTGGAACGTCATGTCACCAAAACATGACATGACGTTCCAATAAACCATCTCTGGACTGCAATACTGTTGGTGTGCTGGTGACATCTATTCATCTTCACCTGCATATAATGTCACAACACAATCCAATGTATAGATCTTGTACTGGTCAAGGTCTGTGGCTAGGTGCACGTGGCTCCTACCTTTGCCCCGTTCCAGCACTGCAGCCTCTATCAGACTTGAACCTCCCCTTTAACATCAGGGTGCTCACTTCACATCAGAAGCCCCCTTTACATCAGAAGCCTGTCTAAAAGGCACTTCTGAGGAAGCCAAAAGGCACCCCAGGGTACCCCGGGAAACCCTGATTGAGAAAGGCTCCTCTAGGTAAATTGGGCTCGGACAGTCGCTCTAAAGTTCTGAAAACTATAAGACAGTTGACTGTCTGAAATTGAGTTGGACCTACCATGGCTATGGGAATTTTACAGCTGTCATAACCTATACCGAGCATGCTCTGATGACAAAATTTGCTAATTATAGAGATATTATTTATAGGAAGCACCATGGATACTTAGTAACATGGGTGTCTCATAAAAAAAAAAGTCCAAGAAAACATTGAGATAAACACGGCAAATTGCAGATTCTGCACAAAGATCAAGTCACACAACCCATGTTCATACATACCACCTAAAGAGATTCTGCTTCACCTTCGAAAGTGCCACTGAGATGCGGCTCCTGGTGGGCTCAGGTTGCACAGAGCTTTCCTGAGTGTTGATGAGATCCATGGTTCTGAGTGATTCTCTTCATAAGCTGTAACAGAAAAGATTGAGGTCCACGTATCAAAGGCTAAAAAATGCTGAGAACTGCTAACTGTCACACTTTACAACGCACCGCTGAATCATTAACTGTGCTTACAAGCTTGGTGCACATTCTGTACCTAGTCCAAGTCTATGGCAGGAGATATGGAGATGGGATAAAGCAATTGTATGGAATGGTCTTTCCCCGCAGATAACAAATAATGTGACCTAATTAACTGAATAGAAAAGGTGTTTATGTCACAACAGTGGTTACAATCAGAGTAATTCATGAATACGTTTTTGTATTCCAATAGAAGACAGACAGTGACTAACCAGCCAGACTACAACATCGAATGGGAAACAATGATTTCTTAGGCATGCAACAGGGATTATTTTCATAATCAATGGCATTGGTGCTATCTTAACTGAAGGTCAAAGTTCTTTCTATGCAAAATGCAGTTAACAGTAATGGGATTCATTGTACAATAGCAAATGTTACTGTATTCAGATTTGCAGAAGCTGGGATTAATATATTTCTTGGGATTGTTTAACGCAAAACTCCAGGATGTGCAAAAGTTAACCCTTGCAGTGGTACTTAACTGAAGGTTAAAGGGTTATGAAACCCTTGCATGTTTTTGCATATATCTACTGCTAGCAAGCTGTAGATATATGCAAAACGATTTTACAAAAAAAACTTTTTCAAAGGGTTAATACCTACCTGTGTCTCCGAAGCGCGCTCCTGTCCGAACATCTGAAAATTTCTCAGGTGGCCGCAAAGGATCTTGGGCCGGGCGCATGCGCAGTTCAGATGTTCGGCCGGGAGACGAGGAGAGACCCAAGGTAAGTATATGGATCAGCGTGCACCCGCACAGACTCACCTGTGCGCCATGAGAGGAGGACAGAGGAGTCGGCGCTGGATCGGAGACCCGCACCAGCGTTGGAGGGACAGCTAAAAACTACAGGAAAGTAGAAGATCGGAACTGTAGCCTTTAATGTCACTTTATCAGTAAGACACAGACTGTGCTCTAGAGCAGAGTTTCTTAACCCTTTTTTCATTCACAGCACCCTTTAAAAGTATACAAAATCTTAAAATGTAAAAGACAACGTGTGGCCTCTCCAAAATCCATACTAGAGACTTATCACAGATAGGGGTCTTGCTATGAATTTTAAGGGGAGACCCTATGCATAAAAAACATGAATAGAATAGAAAATAATAGAATAATTAACATCAGTGTCCCC